AGGGAGGGAGGGAGGGAGGGAGGGAGGAAGGAAGGAAGGAAGGAAGGAAGGAAGGAAGGGAGGAAGACAAACAGACAAGAATCAATTGTTCTCTGTCACAGCTATTGAGTCAGGAATGTGGTGGGTGCTGGACTGGCAAATTCACTTCCAGGATAGCTCACTACTGGCAAGCTAGTGATGGCTGTTGGATTCCAGCCTCAGTTTCTATCCATGTGCGTCTCTGCAATTGTTTGAGTGTCCTCATAGTGTGGTAGCTGGCTTCTGCCAGAGCAAAAGATCCAAAGGAACAAAACAGACTGTAGTGTGTCTTCTAACCTAGCCTGTGACCTTAATTACACACTGTCTTTCATTCCATACTACATAGACAGGGTTATCTATGACTCCGTGTACAAGTGTTAACACCAGGAGGTCACCTCAGGAGTGACTACCACAGCACTCTTTCAAAAGACCACACATCAGTGGCAGGAGACGGGGCCACAGAACCCAAAGAGAAGAGGAAGGCTAGGAAAGATTTTGATTCCCAAAAGCTGAGACTACGGAGAAAAAAATGTATCCAGTTCTCCATTCACAGTTTAGTCTTGCACACTTGTAACCAACCTGCCTTGGAAGGCAAGTATTTCAAAGAGTAACTAAAAGCCAGTAGACAGGAGAAAACTCTGGGTTCCAGGAAGCAAGACTCTCCTCCCTCCCTTTTGCCCACCCAACCTTTTCTGAAGCAATGATACAACAACAGTTACCTGAGGATGAATCTGTGGCTTGTCGCACGTGGCCTCAAAGTCCAGCACTAAAAAGTAGTGATACCTCTGGGGAGGGAAGGGCACCATTGCCGCCATTGATGCGCCAAAGCCGTGGGCCGCCAGCTTTCTGGTGGATATGGAACAGAACTCCGGAACACCACAGGGAGAAAATAAGTGGGAGCCCAGCACTTTTCTTGCTCTTGAAAGTAAATACGAAGAAAATCGAGCTGCTCCAGTCTGTAAAGGTGCTAGCATTGAGCATCCAGAGGCATCTAAAACTTAGGGGAGGAAAGTTAAAAGAAAAAGAAAACAAAAAACAAACAAAACAAAAACAGAGAGCCTGGGTTACTCCCCTCCCACTGTGGCCGGGTCATCAGGAATATCCATGCAAGCTGAGCCACACCCACGGTTTCCAGGCCCATTTTCTGAACTGTGTTTTTGTTACTACAGTTTTTGAGACCCTAATACCGGCACCTGCAGTGTTATTACTACAATTCTGTCTCCCAGACCTTTCTCAGCAACACACAAAAATGGCTTCAGTTGTAAATGGAGCACTAGTTCAAAAGAAGGCAGACAGAGGACTTCTGCAGGCACCTCTCAGGTGGCAATAGTTAACTTTAAAGGATTCCAAAGCACTCTGAGGTGAGCAAGTGCACAGTGAGTCCTAGAAGTGGACTCACTTTCCTGGACACGCTCCTCAGCTCTCTTACGCACCATTTGCCCCTGGCTCATCTACCTGTAACTGGACAGCTCCACATACCCTCTGCCTTCTCCCAGCAACAAAGTATGAAAGCCAACACAGCCAATCCCAGGGGGCTTTGCTCATCGCATTCTGATGATTCCCAACCTCCACACTGGTAAGTAGTACCCTGGGAGAACTGGAGAGCACAGCTGGCAACAGTCTCAGGCCTCCTCATTTGCTGCCCTGGGCCTCACTCTCTCCTAGAGGCCCACGATGACTGTGAGGCCTTTTAAATAGGAAAGGGGAAGAGAAAACCCAGATGTGGCAGTAATGGGAGCATTTCTAAAAGTCTAGTAAAACTTTCTGAGGGAACATGTGCAAGGGAAAAAAAAGTCTGAATCATTTTTCCTTTACATTTTCCCTTTAAATTCACACAATAGCTGCTCTCCTCTAAGGGCTAACTAAATATAAAAATCAAAGCCTAAGTTTTACTCACAAATAACCTGATCTGAGAGAGGGAAACAAGGCAGAAATATAGGAACTCGTCCTTCCCCACATTACAGCCCCTCCACTTTAATTCTCAAACAAGCAATCTTACCATTTAATACACAAATTGCCATCGGTTTATGCTTCCTGACGCCAAATCCCAAGAGAAGCAAAGGCTTGCCTCTGACTAGCTGTAAGGAGCCACGGTCTCCCCATGCAGGTGAGGAGGACAGCACCCTGGTAAGTGTGGAGCACACTCGGGTACCATGAGGTTACTACCCCTGAACAAGAAAGTACAATGCCAAGTACGACTTCTCTTCCTAGCTCTCTTCTGACTCTCACTGAAAAGCTACAGTCACTTGCCTGTATATCTATTAGGATGCACGCTAGTGTGGGGTCTCGGTTTCTGTATCTAAACATGAGCTATCATGAGGACTGCGTGAAGATTAAAAAAAGAGTCTTCCTGGATCCTACACAAGCATGGTGCTTGTTTTTATTGCTTTACAGCCTCCCTCAGAACTCCTAGTCCAGGGAGACAAAGGCAAGCTTGAGTTTCACTATGGAATCTCTAGGAGAGGCACAAGCACCAGCGTCCCTTTGAAAGCCAGAATCCAAACAACCCCACTCTCTCACTCACTCACCAGTACTGAGAAAACAAGCGACAGGGTGATAACGGCTCCACTGCCCATTCTAGTTTAGATGCCAAGTCCTGCAGGACCTTAGACCTCTTCTAACCACCTGAGCCATGTGGAAAGACTTGCGAAACTCTTAATGTGTCTATAGTATACACAGTATAGAAATCAACCAGACTCTGCCTGCCAATACCACAGGCAACAGTCTCGACTAACAAGGATTTCCTGTTTATGTCTTCTGACTTTAGCACGTACTAGCCATGGCACCATGGGCAGGCACTCTGTTCTTCAATTCCCTGCCTGTAAAATGACAGTAACAGCTTCTACTTCTAGAGTGAGAATGGGATGAGGACAGAGGTACAACATCAAGAGCAGTGTCTAGCTCATTATGGCTCAGAAAGTGGTAGTTTGCTATCATTACTACAGCTCTTCCCTCAGTTATCTCCTACATCCCTATAATTCTCTAGGCCTCCCAAAGGGCACAGTATACATGCCCTACCCACCCCTGCTTGGGCAACACACTGACAGCTAGAGGGCCTCCTTTCTTACAGGCTTTGTTTTCTCATTTGATTCCATCCACATCAAGAAGGACCACTTGAAAGAAGTCTTAAGAAAAGACTGGAGAGATGGCTCAGCACTTGAGTACAGGCTACTCTTCCAGAGTTTGATTCCCAGCATCCACATGGTGGCTCACAATCATCTGTTGCTCCAGTCCCAGGGCATTGGATGCCCTCTTCTGGTCTCCGCAGACACTGCATGCACATGGGGCACAGATACACATGTAGGCAGGCAAAACACCCATATATGTAAAAATAATAGATCTTAGGAGGTCAGGCTTCTACATGTCAACACTAACAGGGTTCCAAACTGCCCTCCTAACAACCAAATTCAGATGAAGTCAAAGAACAGAGGGTAATTCTTCCTCTTCCTTTGTAACAATTTCAATTTAAAACTGTTAAATGCAATAAAGAAATATCAGTTGGAGTTGGGAGAACCAGAGAGGTCTAAATGAAAGATAAGGGCCAAGGCAGGTGAGACAGGCATCCATGCAGAGGTGGCAAGGTGTACTGTATCATGTCAGAGCCAAGGGCATTCATGCCAAAAGGAACTTAATGAGATTCATAGACAAGAAAAAAAAAAGTCATTCCCAAGGGAGGGGTAAAGGACCAGTAACAACAGAATATATACAAATTACAATTACACACAAAATGGATAAGCAGAGTGCATATATTAAGGATAATGGAAATCAGGTTTCTCACTACTATAAAAACAAACAAAACCTGTGGTATTGTTTTGGAATTGACAGTAAGAATTTGAATTCATGATTTCTGGTATAGATGTGGTGAACATGGATATATAAATAAAAGTATGATAACAGCCAGGCAGTGGTGGTATAGATGTGGTGTACAAGGATATATAAATGTAGATATAAGTAAAAGTATAAAAGTAAGATAACAGTCAAGTGACAGTGGCACATGCCTTTAATCCCAGTACTTGGGAAGCAGAGGCAGGTGAATCTCTGTGAGTTTGAGGACAGCCAGGACTATACAGAGAAACCCTGTCTCAACAAAACAAAACAAAAGTGGGCTGGAGAGATGGCTCAGAGGTTAAGAGCACTGACTGCTCTTCCAGAGGTCCTGAGTTCAATTCCCAGCAACCACATGGTGGCTCACAACCATCTGAAATGAGATCTGGCGCCCTCTTCTGTATACATAATACATAAATAAATCTTAAAACAAACAAACAAAAAACCAAAAGTATAATTATACATACACAAAAAGATAAAAATTCACACTCTAGCACTGACTAAGGATGGGTTAACAGCAATAAGCACACCTAGCACACTGGTGCCTTCCAAATATCACCGTCCACTAAATGAACCAGAGCTCCTTGGAGAAACGGCAAGAAAACTACAAGATGAGCCTAAGCTATCCTACAAGAAAGGAAGGGAATGCTCAAAGAATAACAGAAACATATCAAAGGGACTCAAAAACCGCCTTGAGGGGATCCTGCTGGTCAAATAGGAGGGATGGAAATGTATTATAATGCAATGAATAAGCCAAGAAACCATGAGTCCATAAAGATTTAATAAACACAAGTAAAATCTATGGAGGAATATAAACATGGTATCAATGCATTTCTCCACAGAACCCTTATTAGTTACAATAAGAAGTAATTTTATAATGGAAAAAGATGAGCAGACAACATCTTATACAACCAGTCAAAAATAAGCATCATTGCTAGATGTGGTGGCACAAACCTTTAATCCCAGCACTTGGGAGGCCGAGACAGGAATACAAGACCAACTTTGTACACAGTCAGATCCAGGTCAGCCAGGGTTAGTCACCACACACACACACACACACACACACACACACACACACACACACACACACACACACACACACACACAAGGCATCGATAATGGGATAAATCAAAATCACATGCCACTTGACAAGATGTAAAGAGAACAAAGGATCATTTCTGATATCCTGCTGAAAAGGCACAATATGAGCCTAACTGTAAGAAAGTATCAGACAAACCATAAGAGAGGAACAATCCAAACAATAACCAGCCCATAATCTTCAAAAGTATCAAAGTCATGATCGTCAAGGAAAATGTACTGAGGAAAATCTAAAGGAGACTACAGACTTGATAACTAAATGCAAACCAGTTATCAACCACACCCTTTTGCTACAAAGAACAAAACTTGAATGGAATTCTGGACTAGACAGAGGTTAACATAACATATCTGACCTTGATAGTTGGATTGTAGTTGGGTAAGAAAAGGGCCTGCTTGTAGAAAATACACCTCAAGTATCCTTAACAATAGGAAATCAGTTCAGGACCTTAATTCTCAAAGGGTTCCGAAAAGAAATCTTATATTGCACTTCCAATGTTTATGTAAATTTGGGTTGTTTCAAACTTTTGTTTTTTAAATACTTTAAAAATCCAGGTATAGGCCGGTTCAGGCCAGCCTAGCCTACAAAGTGAATCCCAGGACAGTCAGGGCTACACAGAGAAACCTTGTCTTGAAAAACCAAATAAATCAATAATAAAAAAGCCAGGTATAAGGCTGAGAGTGTAGCTCTGTGGTACAGTATTTGCCACCCATGCATGAGGCCCTGGGTTCAATCCCCACAGTAAGTTAAATAAATAAAATCCACATGCAATGTAATTTTTTTTAAAAAAAAAAAAATAGAGCCAGGGCACAGGACTTTAATACTAGCACTCGGGAGGCAGAGCCAGGCAGATCTCTGTGAGTTCGAGGCCAGCCTGGTCTACAGAGCAAGATCCAGGACAGGCACCAAAACGACAGAGAGAAACCCTCTCGAAAAACCAAACAAAAGCATACGAGGGAGAGATCTTCTCACAGTGCCTACAGAAGGAGGCTACACAGCCTCCTCTAGCAGCGAGACCAGAGAGTGGGGTGGGGGGAGACAACTCTCACAGCATCACATTTCGGCCCTCAACGCCA